TTCCCTACTCTCCGTGTAACATGTGCGTCCCATACAACTACAAACCTAGTAAACTATTCCAAAATTACCCATTCCTTTCTCTTCAAGTGTTTTTATGTTTCAAATAAGTGAAGTTAATCACATGTACGCTGTTAGTGTAAAAAAATTTTACACCGATAATCAATCATATTTTTTAATAATGTCATGTTATTTGTTTATTTAATAAAATAAAATAATTTGAATATGATTGATTACTAGTGTAAAAAACTTTATACTGATGATTAACTCATAAGTTAATATGAGTTTGTTTAGCGGGAGACATTTGTAATGTAAATAATAATAATTATTATTATTATTATAAATGGTTTAACAAAAGAATTCTAGAAAATTAAATGGAATGTGACTTTATGATTATGTTTCACTTAATATCTAATAACTGTTCTTATTATTGTTATTAATTATATAAGCAGAAAAATTGTGTTGTCAATTAATGGGTGAACATTGTTCATTTTTTGTCATGCTCTCAGTATTTTTCTTATACATATTAGTTAATTAATTACTTAATTTTATAATTTTATTTTTTTAAAAAAAATTCTAACCAATTCAGTTTGAAAAATGTTCAATTACGTTTCACAAATTAAGTTGACATAGACACAAATGAGGGCATGTTTTCATACAATCAAGAGCAAACACCTGAAAGGCTTTTATTTCTTTGGTTATTTGTTCCCTTTTTTCTTTTGAGGTAAATAGCCCAACACAGCTTTATTATCCATTTATCCTTGACAATGATATATTCAATAATGTTGTTTCAAGAATTTTAGGGTATAAAGCAGATATGGTGATCTGCTCAAAGAATAAAGAATGAAGAAAAGATGGACAGTGACACGGATAGAAAGGTTCCTTTAGGACTAGCTACAAATTTTCAATTTCATTATTTTTTGAGTTTAATAATTATATATTCTCGATTCATATAATTTTATACAGTCAATTCATTATAAATCACGATCTATATAAGGTTATTGTAAAAATAAACAAGTTTATTTCTTCTGTTGTTTATTATAATTTTTTTAAAAATATAAGTAAATTTCAATTATTTTTAATTTATTTAATAATATTCTTTTTAAAATATTTTCTTTCAATACATGACTTTTTAGTTATATTTGCATTATCTTTTTTTGACATATAACAAGAATAATTTAGAAAAAATATTAAAATATTAGTAAAATTTAATACAAATAACTAATTTTCTTAATAAATAAGAAAGGAAGTATCATTCACAATGAATTGTGAATGGATATTAGTGTAAAATTTACATTTTAATTATATAGCTAGTAAACTCTTATATTATTCTTCAAAATAAATCCTCATTATATGAAATAAAATTTCAAATAATTAATGATGAAAGAGTTGGGTTAATTATATATAAAAAAAATTATACCATGAGTGGTATAAATTTTGTTATATGAATTATTGTATAAATAACATTTCATTTGAAATATCAACAGATCAATCTTAGGATTTAATGTTTCAAGATTATATTAGAAAAATTTGTACAATCAATAAATGTATGAGTTTTTTTAAGTTAATTAATTGTCTCAAATTTAAATATTGAGAATATAATTATATTAAATATTTAGAAGAATAACATTATCGCTTATAGTAACTTTACTTCACTTAAATAAAATTATTTCTTATTATTATATGTTAATTAGCTATAAAGTGTTCATCTCATACTATAAGAAATGTTATATATAGTGACATACAAAAAATATTAATATAAATATAATATATGTAAGTATATATTTATTTGACATATAATTACATACAATTTTAGTATTGATTTTAAATGACATTTAACAACATATTTTATGTGTCACTGTAGTCTATAGTCACACTTTTTAACAATATACCAACATATATTATATTCATTATGTAAGTAAAAGTAATTTTTAATAACATGTATTATGTCACTATAAAGTATGTCACGATTTTCTTGTAGTGCCACAATCTAAACCTGTAAATCTGACATAAAAAAATATATATTAAAATTTTTTGTGTTGTTAATATTGAAAATATAAAATTACGTGACTTGTGAAAAAAATAAAATATTTTAATCCTAACCTCGTGTAATATATGGTGTGTGGTTGATGAATATTTAAGGACTTTATAAGTTTCTTTGATTATCTTATAAATTAGATTCATCAAAATAATTTTATTACGATAATTTATTTTAAAAATGTATAATTTATTTATATAAATTAATTGAAGTGTTTTACAATTTATAAGTTCTTAATTTTTTATTTTCTTTTCTTTTTGGATTATATAAATTATATTTATATTTATGATAAACAAATAACTTATATATTAATATATGATTATTTTTTAATTATTATGTAACAAAACCAAACCAAATTGCACTTAATTTTTTTATTTAGTTTGGATGACTTTTAAGACATAAACTAAACCAAATTGCACCCACTTTTTGTGTAACACTTATATTTCTCATGAGAGGTAACACAATTTATCTTTTTCTTTTCTCGTATATATATATATATATATATATATATATATATATAATATAATGTTAACATTGAAATAAAATCCAAATTAATCTAGTTTTGTCTCAAATATTGTTCCACATGTTCAACTTTACAAAATGAACTTTATCAAAATTTATTAAAGAAATATTAAAATTGTTTTAACCCGTCCTACAATCATTGGTAGAAGATATTCTCTAAAATAAAAATGATAAAATATTTGGTAAAATAACAAAGATCATTGATCCATATAACACTTAAAATATTGATATTGAGTTTGTCACTTGAGGTCCTTTTATATATATATATATATATTATTTTATTTTTTGTTTCTTTTATTTATATTTTGTGTAACGATCCGGCTGGTCACTACACACAACACAGTACACCTGAAAATCGGACAGAAAGGAACAAGTGCATACATATAGTGTCTAAAATATACATATATACATGGTCAAAGTCTGACTAGATTCAAAATGTACAACAATACAACCAAGCTACTACACCAAGTAGCTGAACAACAAAGCATCAACTAGGATCAGCTCCGCCTGCCAGCTGCAGACTCACCACTAGCCACCCACCTATCCCTGCTCTACTCCCGTACATAGTACGATCATAGCAGTCCAACCACATGGAAACACAAAGGGTAAGCTAGTATAAAAAGAACAACGTATAACAAGATTTAAGTAATATGAACAACTACAACTATCAACACATCGTCAGCCTACATCTCATCGATTGTACAACAAATCAGCAAATGGCAAATAATGCGTCGTCACGCATATCATCTCGGAGATCTCCTACAACCACTCAGCCTTTCGGCCTACAACAACTCAGCCATTATGGCCTACAACAACTCATATCATCATACAACACAGCACAACATATCATCTTATAGCACATCAAGACATCTTACAACAATATTCATCTGATACAACTCAACATCATCAAACAACATTATCTACTAGTCATCTCTTCATGTTCATCAACTTCGACTTAGCTCTACATAAAACAACATTAGACAGCATATAGTGAATTATCATCTTTCCGCCCGGCGCACTCGTGGTTGCGCCCAGCGCAGTGCAACCAGAGAGCACCAGGGGGCCAACGCGCCCAGCGCAAGCCTGCCCGCGCCCGGCGGGACCCATCCAGAGAACCCAAGGCTCACTCGCGCCTGGCGCAACACCTATTGCGCCCAGCACATGCCAGGCAGAGACTCCATGGGGTCTCACGCGTCCAGCGTGCCCAAACCCACGCCTAGCGTGGGGAAGGCAGAGACCTACCAAGGTCTCGCGCCCAGCTCAATTCAAATTGCGCCTGGCGCCCCCCCATGGCAGAGACTCCCAAGGAGTCCCCGCGCCCAGCGCGACAAAGATCGCGCTTAGCGCCATGCCAGAAACCCAAAACAAGCCACAACCGATATCGCGCCCAACGCGGTCTAACCCCCCGCCCGGCGTGGGCCATCCAGAGGCTAACATCCTCAAGCACGCCCGGCGCACACATCTTTGCGCCCGGCGGGCTTGCCTAAATGCTGCCCTCAGATGGCCACGCGCACGGCGTGAGGAACTGCGCTCAGCGCGAGTTCAGCAGCAAACTTCATATTTTCGAAAATCTCTTCAATACCTGCAAAAAAACCAGGAAACTCCACATGCAATCGGTTCAAAGCACCACATTTTCATCAAACAGTTCAAAAATACCATCTTTTTGTACATGCAACAACAAATAAAGAATTTCCCAAAATTTCTCAAAAACCCCCAAACTTCATTTTCCAGCTATCTCAACCAAGAATCATCAATCATCAACCAGCAATTGAGTTTCTAGAACTCGCTCACAACCAAAATCCGCAAGAACTAGCTTCCCTTACCTCGGGCAAAGATTCCGAGCTTCCGGGAAGAGAGACGAAAAAAAAAGAGAAGAAGTTTGGACAGACGGCAAAGATCGAGCTTGAGCAACTCAGAGGAAGAAGGAGAGTTCTGAATCACCTACTCAGCAGCACCACCTAAGGTTCCAAGGAAAGATCAAGAATAAGGAGGGTGAAGAGAGAATTGGGAGTGTGCGTTTAGAGTGAGTACGGAGAAGGGAGTGAGAGTGAAAAGAAGAAAAGATTTTGGGTCTCACATTTTGGTGTCATGATTTTGACATAAATATTAATTTCTTTCATAATTTTGATTGCATTAAGGTCATCATTTTTTATATATCAAACTTAAGACTTGAATTCATATTGTTTCTCTTTCTTTTAAGTAAAACACAACTCTAATTAAAAAAATAAAATGTAACTTAAAATTCATCTTTTATTTATTTATATATATATATATGTGTGTGTGAAAAATCTTATTTAATTTATTTTTTTATTTGAAGTATTTTTAATTTCTTTTATCTTAAATAAATTTTAAAAGAAAAAACTAATGAAAAATTATAAATTTTATAAAAATAACTTATTTTTTGAAAAACATTTCATACAATTTTTGTTAAATAACTAAAAAAAGAAGTTGTTGAATAAACATATGCTACATTGTTCACGTGACTTGTGTTTTTCCAACAATCTTGCTGGAATAGGACCCATACCAGAAGGTACAGAGGACACTACGAAGAATAATAATGCGTGTCAACATATTGACAAACTAGACAAACTGAATTTAAATAAAACGCTTCAAAGTTTGAGTTGAATTAGTTTCACCACGAGAAAAATGTGATTTATTTTGGATTAACAAAAATAACATTGAATTCATATTTTACAGTTTGAATTAACTTCACTATTTCTATTTTTTTAATTAAGAAATTATAATTTTGCTAACACACAAATGAAATTTAAGGATATGAAATAGTTTATAATGAATCGTGGATTCATCAACATCCTTACATCAAGAGTAGTTTGAGTGAATTTGTTGACAAATTTTTATATTAAATCCAAAATTTAATTTAAAATCTAATAAAAACAATTATTCAAGTTCAATATTTTAATATTAAATTAGATCAATTCACGAACAGTCTCACACTCTACATATCCAACGTTTTCCTAGCCAGTGAGAAAATGCATTCATAAAAAAGATTCCAATTATAAAAATAAATTAAATTATTAGTGTATATAATTTTATTGAAATAATTTTTTTAGTGATGCTATACATTTATTATAATAAATTTCATAGTCTAATTTATGTCATAATTTTTTACATAATTAAAATTCATTAATTATATATTTATTTTTAAGTAAACTATTTATTTGTCGTATGCGCCGACAAATAGGATTAATGAGTTTATCTATGTAGTGATGCATGTGGTGAGAAACATTGCACTTTTACATAACAGCGTCGTAATGAATGCCACGTGTGTTACACGATTCCAGCTAGTTTTGTTTCAGTTTTCACATGTTATGTCTATCATCATATTCATAGGGGCACTGAGAGATAATAATAGTATTAAAATTAAGAAATTAAGAAATAAAATATACTTGGCTAACATTAATTTGCAAAATAATAATTACATTAAAGTTTCATTTATTTATCAGTTGCACATGCATATGGCACACAATAACAGCATAACACAAACATTCGATCCAGTTGATCATGGCTCACACTGGATTATATATGTTGAGAACAAAAAAAAAGCAAAAAAACATCTAACATGCTTCTGGAATTTGGGGGTCCCCTCTTTGTGATGAATCTGTTTTCAATTTTCTTTTTCATGGTTAACAAGAGTTTCATAAATTTATTCAATTATAAAACAATTTACAACTCAATTATTTAAAAAATAAAAACTAAAGTTGTACATAATTAAAATGTTAAAGAAAACAAAAGAATAATTAATTGAAATAATTATATGAATACATTAGTTTTTGAGTTTTGAATTTTTATGAACAATTTATGAAAAATATCTTGTGCATGTGATGTGAATCCTTGTATTTGCTGTTACATACCTACTGGCTACTGCCTTAAAATTTCTTTATGACTTATTTCTTCACATAAACTTATTTACTTGCCCATTTTTGCAATTATATAACATGGTTAGCATGAGATTTTCTTGGTGTGGGGGTTGAGCAAGAGAATTTTGTCCCTAAAAAAAATAGTACTTTAATTACAAAATATATTGACTTTAAAACGTGTGATTCATAATATTTTTTTTTAAGTATTAGTTTAAGAATTAATCACCTATATACTGCTAGTGTAAAGTCTTTTTTACACTAGCAACCAATTATATATCTTAATTGTGTCATGTCACTGTTAAAAGTAAATGTGTTTACAGTGACGTGATACAATTAAGAGACATAATTAGTTGCTAGTGTAAAAAAACTTTACACTAGCAGTGTATAAGTGATTAACTCTTAGTTTAAACTTGTCTTTTTTTACTCTATAACGTTGGATTCAAAATTTATTGTTAAATGTTTTAAATTTTTTATGCAAGATTAACATATACATAATTCAAAGGCAGACTTATTAAAATTATTTATAATAATATTTGTATATATATATATATTAATATTAATATTTGCTCAAATGAATCACTTGGACAAAGCAATGAAAAATGTTGGGTAGAATTTTAAAAAAGAATAAATTATTTATTATGAGAATATCATTATTTAAAAAATTATTTTGACTTTTGCTTAATTTGAGTTTTTTTATTGTCAATTTTAACATACGTCAACTATATATCTAAAGAATTTTTTGTTTTTGGTAATTTTACTGTAAGAATCAGTTTTTCTCGTACCTACTTTTCTATTCAAATTTCAAATTAACATAATAATAACCTCTCTCTCTCTCTCAACATAAATCAATAACTTTCCTTAATGTAACATTACACTCACGTTATCATTTACAGCACACAACGATGGATTCGAATTTGAATTACGTTACATATTTCCCAAAATAAACATAAATTTAACTAACTTGCTTTTCTTAATATACCCTATATCTGGAGGAGAGAAAATGATTTCCTGAAATTCCATGATTGGAATATAATTAAAATAATTTAAAAAAGTATAGTTGTGTATTTGAATGTGGCATTTTAGAAAAGGAAAATCATTTTTAGGAAGCGTGTGGAATATAAAAAGTTTTTACTTTTTCATAAGGCTAACCTTAAAAATATTAATTTTTTTATATATTTAATTTATTATCTAAAAAATAACATTATTAGAAAATATTATTTTTCGATAATATTTTTTTACATAATTTTTCTATAAAAATATTATCATGAGAGGTGAGAAACTAACTTCTTAAAATAAAAATAAAACTTTAATGTGATAAAAATGTCATTTTACATTTATTTACTTATTTAATATAGTAAAAATTCTTATTATCAAGTAATATTTTTAAACATTCTCAAAAATATTTATGATCAACCAAATATTAGTAAAAATATATCAAATGTCTTCTTAAGAAAAAATATATTTCTTTAGACCAAAATATTTTATTTGGATATTCAATTAAATTAAATTTAAGAATTTTATAAAATTTAATTAAATAAAATTTTAAATTCCATCTAAAAAAAATTTCCCCCTCTCTCCTTTCTCCCTCTCCCCTCACTCTCTAATTTATAAATAACAGTCCAATAAATCATTCATTTGATCTATCAATGCCTTTCTCTCCTAAGTAGTTTTAAAGTAATGAAATTATTCCACATAGATGACATAACTGGTTAAGTCCTTTGCACCTACTAGTTAAAATCCAAGATTCAATTTGATTTTCCTTGTGTTTTAAATTCTTGTGTTAGGATGAGATAAACTATCCGCAATCTTATCAAATTTTTTGAAAGAAGTTGTTGATTGAGTATGGTCATGTATTATGTACTTTATCCTAATTTTAACTTTTCAATTAAAAAATTTATATAATAAGCCTTAAAATATAAAAAAAAAATCATTAATTTAATTTCTACCATGATATATTTTTATTAATGTTGAGAGACTAATATGATGAACTTTCAATACTTTAGGAATAATAGACTACGATTTCTAATAATTTAAAAACTACTTATGTAATTTTATTACTTCAAAGACTAAATTGATATTTTATTCATTTTATAAATGAAAATGTTTAATTATTTTATTTAAATTCAAATTTTAGAGATGAATAAATTTATTTATTTTATTTTTAAGGACAAATTTATTTATTATGTTAGAAACAATAAATTTTAAAATAAAATAATTACTTACTTTATCCAAATAAAAAAATAAAAAGACCATTGAAATTAGCATAATGGTTGAAATAGTAAAAATATGAAAACCTAAATTCAAGTCTCATTATAACCATCTTTATAATATTTCATATCTTTATAAAAAAATATATAAAATTATATAAAAAAGAGGCTGCCATGTAATAAATGGATTAAGTGCTAAAAGTATGACTATTTTAAGTAAAGTTTCAACTCTTAATCACATTTTCTCTTTTATTCTATCATTAGAAGTTTCTTAAGAAATCTAAATATAACTCCACTCTGTAACGACCTGGTTATTTTTTTCTTTTGTTGTTCCCTCAACAACCAGCACATGCTGTTGTCTAAGTTTCTATTTGTTGGTACTTGGTAGGCCATTAAAAAATGGGTCATTCAAAAAGAGAGCCCGATATCACTTGGAACTATTGTGATAGTAACTCCTCTGCATCCACATGCATACAATTTAAACCATTGGTGCCAAAAAAGATATATGTACCTGGTTCCATTTTCTTGCTTCTTTGTACCATCCTAGGACACTGAAATCAAACCAAACCAAAAGAATTGGTGGACAATTCATCAGCCATTACCAATTGGCTCTTGAAAATGCAAAATTAATTCAAACACCACAGCAAAACAAAGATTTTTACCTGTTTAATGTGCATCGACTTGTTAGATCAAACATAATCAAAATTGCCACGGAGTCCTTACAAGCCGTTGGAATTTGGTCTTCTGATTTTTCATCGCCTGCATGGATATGTAACAATCAAATATAAAATCATTAACCATCAATTATCATTATTTTTGGACCATATCCATCAAAACACAATCTGGGATCTTCTCTCCCTCTACCTTGTACTTCCCAGATACGATACGATATACGTGCCCCTTTTTTTTTTTTTTTTTTAATGTTAAACAGTGGAATCCTAACCTGACTGGCGATGGTCCATTGCAAATCAATAGGGAGCTGAATGAAATCATCAAATTTGGTTCCTATCAACACTGGAATCGCCGTCTACAAAA